AACAAACCCCGGACTAATGTACTTTAATTATGTGGTTGAGACTAAGTATTACATGAACAGTGATAACATATTTTGGTATTTCCATACCTGTTTTATTGCAACACTTTGTTTATCCTTTCATTTATATATTGGGTAAACATTTTGAGATTGTATCTCTTGAGAGACTGGATGAATTAATAACCCAGATTGTTTAGTTCAGTTTGTTTGGGTCTGTTGCTAGTGCAGATATTCCCACAGGATTAAAATAAACACTTCCATCCATCTTCTTCCTCTCCAGCTCGTTTTCTCTATTAGACTGTGTAATTGAATCCAATAATTAATAAAGCTGTGCCTCTCTAAATAGCCACTGGGGCTAACCTTGGATAACGGCCATTTTTTTGCAGGCCTCTAATAGCCAACAATATTAATGTAATGACGGAACTTCTGCATTTTTTCTGATAGTACATTTATGATGGCGTAGAATCCTGAGTTTACACTATGTGAAAAAGTTTTTACATAATGTGTAACCAAGATATTATGGTAAAAAAATTGTAAAAAAAAAAAAAAAAAAATGACAACTTGCATTATTGGGTACAGTTAGATTCCTTAAAAAACATATTCCTTATTATTCAGCAACATCAACACATCCATTTACAATGATGATAAAAATTGTCATTTTTATCATCATTGTAAATCCAGGGTCATATGCATAATGTATGATTATCATGTGTTCATCTTTTTGCCACAGGTTGGTGACCACTTATAAGAAAAAAAACATACGTATGTACCGATTTCTACAGATCTGAGTGGGATCAGATATTCTCCTTCAAAATGTATTGTGTTTCACAAGACTGTATTTCCTTGTTGCAGACAAAAACATAATTCTGCTATAGTTAAAAATGCTCTAAGGAAGGACTCGGTTGTGTGAGCTGCCCCTGAACCTCCAACACTACTGTTTGCCTTACAGCAAGGTGACACCACACACACAAACCATAGATCACACACCAGAATGACTGGTCAAAGAGGCCTGCCAACTCCAGTAGACTTCAGCTCATGTCCTGCGGCAGCAGCAGCAGCTGTGAGTGACAGAACACAGTACTCTAGTTAGCCACTAAAACTAGAGCTACTGTTGGTTCGCAGTGGACAGATGTTGAAGTAATGCAGTCTGAAGCAACAAAGCCACATGGCTGAGTTTCAAGGTTCACCTGTACTTTTTGAATATGCCTGATGGCTACGTTGAACATTCTGTCCTCCACTTGAGGGTTGACTTATATATTGGCAAATGTACACAGTATATTGTATGTTTGGTCCCAAAACATCACCTGAATAAAAGATTAAATCAGTCACTACATATACATGGGGAGAGAATGCAGACTATATGAATGTGTAAAATGCTACAAACCTAGAGTGAATGTAGTTTTTTCCCCCAAACTCTTTAGACCACACTTGCTTGAGTCTACATGCAAGAGTGTAGACCAGGGGTGTCATTCATACGGCCCGCCAAGAGATTTGACACGGCCCGCGGCTCATGTATGTAAAACGATAATAATGTGTTATTTTTTTTTTTTAAATTTGCGCTCAGCAGGGAGTCCAGTGCGTCTGTAGCTGGCTCCACCAGAGCGGTGCTGAAGGAATAACATCTTAAAGTACAAGACCCGGCAAAAAATACGGCACTTTGAGCGGAGAATTGAGAAGACAGAAGATAACGTGTCTGGCCCTGAAGAAACAGCAGAATGTTTGTGCCCAGAGCGAGAGGTTAGTGATGCTACTGTAAAGGGAAGCTACCTGTGCTAACAACATAGCATTAGCCTCGCAGCCGTACAGTGAGAGAGAGTTGTTAAAACTCTCATACAGGCTCGCCACTGCTGAAACCACACACTTTTACCAACATGTTGCCATTGATGAGAGACTGATGTTACTGATGTCGCATTTTCATTTGTGGAGATACTGAAACTACCACAGAGTTTTGAGCGCCGCTGCTGCTGGTGCTGTTGGACAGTGAGGTCCTGCGCCTGGTACCGACTACCGACGGTAAAAGCAGGTGTAGTGACAAAGCTGCAAATGGAGATGATGATTTTTTGACATTTGACTGTATTTTACACAGAGACACTGCTGCAGTCGTTAAGAATGGATCACGTTATGGAAGTTGTTTTGTTCATTTCAACTGAATCATGATCAGTTAACATACATTTATTTATATACCTGGTGTAGACAGCGAAGAAATTATGTAGATGTTTGTTCCTGACAGCAGAACTTTGGTATTATGTGTTTGAGTGAAAAAAGCGCCATTTTGGTTGCGCTTGCAGTATTATAAAAGTTTATATCTTGAGCATGTGTTTATGAACGAATGCGGAGAGACCATCTCCGGATCAGAAAAAAGGTTGGCACTGTGTACAAACAGCCGCATGTGTGGTAGCAGATAGCTAAAAGTGGCCGACCAATCTCTACATTATTTTCAGGTGGCCTTTGGAAGTTTTTAAGCAGATGCCATCATTGCTGATATCAGCTCATATGTGTTTTTCAATTATCCTGTTTGGCTGTTTGGTTCAAACACCAGGGGCAGGTTTAATGACAACAAATGAGTGCGTGTTTACCAAGCCCCGGCGATCCAAGATGGCGCCCTATTCAAATGAATGGTTGTGCTCAGTGGTGCTTTGTGATGGCATGGGTGCCAAAAAGATTAGCGGAAGTTGCCCGGAACTCGCAAAGATCCATGGGAAACTCGCCTGTATTTGGGCATCGTCTGGTCCTCCCGGTTCTGCGCAGTGGATGATCTCCCATAATGCGTTGCGCCAAACACGCGTGTGTGGGTCTCACACCGGGTCTCACACACGTGCACAGAGGGGCTCGGCCGCGCTCTGACCAATCAGAGCGGGCGGGAGTTAGAGCGAGAGCCAGACGAGCAGAGTTTGTGGCTCTAAAGTGTGGATTTAAACAAAACCAAAGGATTTAAGAAGAAAAAAGTTCAGGATGACAAGGAACACTAAAATCCCCACAAAATCCGACCTTTATGAAAGCTGTAGGTTCTCTGTCAGCTGAAGTTGAGCTGTTTTAATATGCATTGAGTTCTATGGGGAAAATTTCTGGGTAGCCCACGTGAATTTCGTCTGGTCTAGTTCGCGAGAATCCCCCGAGCACATGAGTTATTCAGCTACAAGCTAGTAATACCCTATCCAGTTATTATAATAGATCCATGGTGTTTACATGTTATCAAACTAAAAGCGACCTTGACCTGTTATGCTTACACAATATTAGGAACTAGGACTACAACACCTCGATGTGCTTAGATTTGCATGCATTTTGCTCAATAAACTGGGCTCGGCTTGTTATCCTATTCTGTCTCCTCTTATGCAAATCATGTGTGTGGTGGAATATACTTGCATATTACAACATATGAAAGAATTTGTAAGATTCTCCATGTTGATCTTTGTTTTGTTTCCTGTCATAAATATAGATTGTTGCCACGCCGAAACGAATTCTAAAAATGACAAGCAGTATTATACTTAATTCTTGCAACATGTGTGAATTTACAAACTTTGAAATAACTTGCAGACTTGTGGGCCTTGTCCAGCACACTGAGAAGTAGAAGATTTTTTTGGACTGACTCACTTTTATGCTGTCTGACACTTGCACGCATGCATGAGGCTGATTATCTGCTTGTTGGAAATTACATATATTTACTAGAACATTTAAGTTGTATGTGAAAAGTGGATTATGCATTATTATAATTATTATTCCTTTGTCGAAGCCTCTTTGCTGGATGCAACGTACAATCTACGCAAGCTGGTGCAAAATTCATTGCTCACTGCTGGTCAGGTTGGTTGAGACTGAGTTACGAACAATTCTTCTCCAGCAGGCAATGCTTTATGGGGTCACCAATGACCACCTTTGGTTCATGAACCCCTCCTCATCTGAAAATATAACCTAAAGGCGTTTGGAGGTTCTGTCTATAATTCAAGCCAGATGATTAAAAAGCAAATGATCAGGGACCCTTCTTCTCAGTATTACATACTTTTAGTTTGACCCTCTCTTCGTGGTTCACACACGTCTTACTCACTCATGTGCCTAATTAGCTCATTTTAAATCAAAACCCATGGCAAGAGCAAGTCATTACACATTACTACAATATAATACCCAAACCAAAAGAGAAAGTTTGCAAAAGAAATCACTTCTAATGACTATTGGCAAGGCAAGGCAGAGGTTGGATGACATGGCTTTACTTCACGGTGACTTAGAAAAACAACTCCGGAGGCAGGTTTTCTTTCCCTCGGCACACAGTGATGTCAAGTGAGCTCAGAGACAACAGATAGAATGTGAAAAAGACAGGAATTGAGAATGAAGATGGAAAGAAGGTCACCTCTAAAGCTTTCGTGTCCATTTTGGTTATCTTAATAACCAACCCCTGGCAAAACTAAAAAAGCACAATTGCTTCTAGTTTGGTGGTCTAGTTTTGACAGTTTGCCTGTTAAACCCAAAAGGACAGAGGAAAATATAATAATGTTTGTAATATGTACCCTATAAGTGGAATCTTATAAGCACAAAATTGTAAATATATGTAACTGTTTATTGTGATATGTGTGTTGTTGTCATGTTGAAATAGGCACAATGAAATAAATCTTTTTATCACCGATTCTAAAATCTCTCATACATAACGTTGATTGGGAGTATCACTCTTGAGCAACGAGAGACAAGCAAGTCCATGAGACTTATGTTATATTTCAGCTGCTTTGAGGTAAGAATTTGGAAGGAAAATTAAATAAATCTTGATCAGTATAAAGCACAAAATGTTCAACTAATGTCAAATAAAACTTTAAACACAAATGAGAACATTTCAAAGCAGCTGAAGTTTCCTCTTTTGTGGGCTTGAGCCAAGGAAAACGTCCAAGACTACATAATGTGCTGTACCTCTCTCAGTGAAATTGACATTGACGTTTAGGGTTAATACCTCTTGCCGCTGTGATTCCTGCAAATATGGGTTCACCACTAAGTGTTCCAGCAGCTGCATATGAGATAGAGTCTGCATGCAGCGTAAGGCTAAAGCTGTCATTATGGCTGAATCTAGTCCACTGTGTCCACACCTAGCTAGAGCCTTCCAGAGGTCACCAAATTCGCTGATTTTCAAAGTGCAGCCAAGCAGAACACAAGAGGAAACACCCATTCTAAACGCCCACTGCCCCCCACCCAAACCCTCCTTGTAGCAGCCCCTCTCTCACCACTGTACCATCCACGGTACGTGAGTTAACAGTGAGGGCGAGTCATTGTGGACACTGGAAACAGCCATGGGAAATGTGAACAAGAAATGAATAGCACAAAGAAAGTAACATACCATTATTGAAGCACACATAAATCAAAAATGAATACAAATATTATGGTTAATGGAAAAGGATCAGAGCAGAATAAAACAATCCTATAGTAACAAAGAAGTAAGACAATGAGTCCAGAGGATCTCTGGTTAAGCAATTGTCTAAATGTTTTAACTTGCATGCTCAGAATATAAGAAAATAATTTGTACCGCTAAATAAAGTCAACATTTCTCTCTAAAGCACCACTTTCTGCCCTGAGAAGGTCAAACGATCAACAGCTTCAATTGCCTTGACGTCCTGGCGTAGGCCAGTCCCCGATATAAGGGCCCTGCACCATAGTTCTTCTCAAATTCTCTCTCTGTTTGCCTAAGAAAAGCTTCATTGTAAGTATTATGATGTTTTCCAGCAAGACTCCTCCTGGGAATCAACTCTCCGCTCCAGCATGGCGCTGTAGTGGAGAGAGACCCAATCAGGGCAGGGACAGGGTTTTTACTCACCCTGATACATCATTTCCAAAAGAGCGATGATGTGCGGCCCATCCTGGACCTGGGCTCCCCCAAGGGCTGCACCGCCAAACAGCGCAACAGGTTTCGCATGCGCACAGTCAAACAGCGGCTTTTGTGCCGCATTCCCATTGTTTCGAAGCACAGGAAGTTCTCCTGTGCTTCGTGGGGTGTATTTCCACATCCCCATTGTGGAAATATTGGGGGGTTCCAATATTTCCCTCTCCCATTCGGCTACTCCCTTACCCCTGCACATTTTTCAAGTGCGTTGAGGCGGCTCTAGGTCTGCTTTGGTGTCACGGCCTCAAGATGCAGACCCATATTGACGATGCTGATCCTGGTCTCCTCTCGGGTAGACTCACACGTCCCGCCTGGGGTTTGTGATCAAGAGCTCCCTGTGCCCTGCCCGGGAGCTTGGCTGCTTCACTTTGTCAGCTCCAGGAGATAGTTCGGAGGGGTTTGTTGGGGTTTGTCTTTAGGGATGTCTTTGGGATTGGTTGGGGCGGTGAGCTCGGCCCACCACTGTTGGGGCTGGAGGTGGTGCGGCTGGTTCTGGCTCAATTTGTGACCAGATAAGATGGCCAATAAGTGGCTCAGGCTCCAGGACCCCAGAGACCGGCCAGTTTGCTTGTGCAGAGGTCGCACAGTGCCCATTCTGGTTCTCTCTCAGGTCCACCGTCAAGCCCCATCTAGGGGGGGATGCCATGCCTCTCCGCCTCCCTGCTTCTCCGCCTTCTGACAGCGTTATTACTACAGGGCATACAAAGTTTGGAAAGCATTGTGTTGAGAAGTGTTTGGCGCTCTTGGGAGAGGTGGATTGGACACTTCAGTGGAGGAGATCTGCAGGGCGGCGTCCCGGTCCTCCTCCACGGCCGTTGTGCAGTTTTACCAGATGGATGTCGCCTCTGACTCCATTGCTCATTCGGTTTTGAGCGCAGGGTGGCCCTAGTTCCTCCTCCAGCACTCCTGGTGTGGCGACAGGTCTGGAGGTGAGGATTGAGGATCGCTCTTGGGAGAGGTGGCTTGGACACTTCTGTTGTGAGGTGTGGTTACTGATCTGGGGTTTTAGGTGCTCTTGGGAGAGGCGACCTGCTCAGGTTTGGTTCTTCCTTTTCCTGCCTTGCAGGCTGGGGATGCGCTGTCACTCTTGGGAGAGGTGGCCCGGCATCCACTTTTTGGTGACTCATGGACCACCGTCTTTTGCTGCTTGTTTGGGGTATGGGCGTGTTGATCCCGGGTTTGCTATAATCACCTGAGTTCATGCCGGCTTGAGTACATTGGTCTGGGCTTCGCTATGACATGAAGCTATGTTGCTTCGTTCCCTGCTTCAAACACCTTTTCAAATTGTATTTTTGAAAAGGGATTGTTTACGTTCTGCTGTATGAAAATATAAGTTTAAAATAAAAACTTACTTATTTACTTACTTATTCCATAGCAAAGCCTAAAGGGCTGAAGCAACATATGAAATTGCTAGGTTGCAGCCATAGACTGTAATGTTGCAGCTGACATCCCGCAGCAGCTCAGAGGGACAGGAAGCAAACTCCCCATTAAGAACAAAATGTAATGTAATGTAAAAATTAACTGATTCAGAGTCAAAATGCTCTTTTTTTGTGGCGTGTACAGTTGTGTCAACTGCTTGTATCGAGTGGAGATCTTATCTCTCGAGTCTCTATTTTGCTTACATTTATTTCTCTAACGGATGTCGATTTTTAGGAAAATGCCTTAGAAACGGAAGAAATGCGTTAGCATTAGCACACAGTCAGAGACCAAGAGCCAATTTTTTTACTGTGTTGCTGCTAAGAGCCACAACTCACGCACGCACACACGTCAGTTCTGATTGGTCAGAGGCGCTGTCAATCACTTTTCAGCTGTTGCGAAAATCACAAACAGTTTCCTCAAGTTTGTAGCTGAAAACTATATAGACATCCGACTATATATATATCCTTGTTCGCTGGATGAGGAGACTGAGCAAGGTGTTTCACCTTCCTCAGTCTGAGGATTGGACCAGCGTGAGCTTGATGGTTCCACCCGAAATGAGTGCTTTGAATCTCTAACCAAAAACAGTTTTCAACCCAACAGGTAACACAACAAATGTCTTTATTGAACCATGAATCCATGATTCATTCTCCAACTAAGTATAGTAAAAGAAATAGATATGACACATAACATACCACTTTAGCTGTTTTAGACTTTAGAACCGCACAGACACATGTTCAGTTTAAGATCAGATACTTTCTGATTTGATTGAAGACAGACACTCACCATTTCTCTCAAACTGAGAGAGACAACGCAGAGTTGAGGCTTCTCTCCTGGTGTTTTAAGGTGTTAGCGTGTTAGCTGGTGTTAGCCGATGTCCGTGAATTGTATACAGACTGTATCATTTCCAGACTTTTCGGTTCTGCCTCTACTTTTTCTGTTGTGATCTTTCATTTCACTGTAGTCACTTTTAAGATTCTTGTCTCTGCACTATGATCCAACGAACAAAGGAACTGTTCTCCGTTCGGACATCTTTATGGGTTGAGAAAACATGTTGTTTGTTTTGATTTTTGCAACAGCTGACGCACCAGCTGAAGAGTGATTGACATCACCTTTGACCAATCAGAATTGACGTTCGCCGACATCAGATTGTTTTGGTATCTACTCGGCCAGGCTAGAACAAGGGCCAAGGCGTTACTAAAAAAGTACCGGGTAGCAGCTAAAGCGAGCCGGTGGAAACGCCTGCAAACTGGGGAGAGTGGGGTGAAGTGGAGTTGAGTCGGCCCGTGATAACGCCCCTTTTGACGCTTGTCATGTGAAGTCCGAGAGCCACATGGAACCAGCCAAAGAGCCGCATGAGGCTCACGATTCGCGGGTTGGCCACCCCTGCATTAGCATTAGCCTGCATAGCGTCTGTGGCCGCAGACACAGCTGACAGTCCGCAGTCTCTTCACTGACTTTCATAGATACAATGCAGTATTTTTGTGTGGTAAACTTGTAGTAACCGAGGCAAAAGGGAAAAATAACTGATAAATGCATTTTTAAATGCCAAATGTAATCTCAAACCAACATGTACACGTGTATAACAAAGCTAAAAGCAAGCTGTACAATATTATTCCATGTTCAGACCAACGCTGACTCTGAACGCTGAAATTGACACATGGCTAAAAGATTATGTTATTATTAGCGTCAGCCGCGGCGGCGCATCTGCATCACGGTAAGAAAAAAAAAAGTATAAAGTAGTCTCACGATTGTTTTGTGAGGATTCTGTGTGTTTTATTTGAGACTTGTCCCTGAATAAGTTTAGTTGAAATTTCTGACAGTAGTTGGACTGCGCTCGGATTGGGTCAGAACATCCTGAGACTGTTGCAAATTCTGCCTCGTTATCATTATTGTCAGTGTGAAAAAAGTTACGTATTGTTTACGCGTGAGTCTACTGTGTACAAACTACACAATGTGCCTCCTCTGGTCCGGTCCTCCTGGTCCTGCGCAGTGGACGAGCTCCCATGATGCATTGAGCCATATACGCGTTTGTGTCTCTTATGCACGTGCACAGAGGGGCTCGGCCGCACTTTGACCAATCAGAGCTGCTGATCAGAGCAGCAGTAGTCCTGAGTCAGAGCGGGAAGGAAACGAGCAGAGTTTGTGGCAGTAAAGTGTGGATTTAAAGAAAAAATAAAGTTCCGGATGACAAGCGACACTATAATCCCTACAAAATCCAAACTTTACGGAAGCTGTAGGTTCTCTGTCAGCTAGGTTGAGCTGGTTTAGTTTACATTGAGTTCTATGGGACTTTTTTCAGGGTAGCGCACATGAATTTAGTCTGCAGTACCATGGGCGCCCCCTGTGCCCATGGGTGGGACAGCTATAAGCTAGTAATACCCTATCCAGTTATTATTATTGATCCATGATTCTATTTAATAGGAGAAAAATACTTCCTGTCCTACGGCCCCCTGCCAAGCCCCCGTTTGGTCACGTGGTTGCAACCCAACAAACCCAAGTTACCTAATATGACTAAGGTTCTGTGAATATGTTGCAAAGCCCTTTAGCTTCGGGCCCAGCAGGCCTGCCCTCTCTTCTTCGGCTGAGTTTGAAGGGAGAAGAGATATGGTGCAGGGCCCTTATATAAGGGACTGACCTACGCCAGGACATCAAGGTGAATGGAGCGGTTGATCAACGCCCTAAAGGGCTTCGCAACATATTCATAGCACTTTAGTTACATTAGGTGACTGGGGTGTCTTGACCTGGACTAAATCAGGTATGGAACAGGTCGAAATAAACCCAATCTGAACCAGATTTAGACCAAGTCTTAATGAGACCTTCTAACAGTGAGCTAAACAGATTAAAATCCCATTATTTATAAATTTATATAGGATGTGATTATTCTTACTACCACATCTTGTGGAGTCTAGTTCCTGAAAGCATACGATCTTTGTATTTCGCCCATGAAATTATATGAAAGAAATCCTAACAGTGGGAAGTGGGTTAAATGTTTTAAAAAGAGAATCTAAACTCGCTTTGTAGTGACTAACGTTATTGGATGGGGGTGATGGGCCTTCCCTCACCAATGACTCACTGATGAGCATTGCGTTGCTCTTTGCCAACTGGAAATCAGGGATATTCCACTCTTATTTGTGCACCATGTTGTGAGAACAGATTGGCAAATTTCAATAGTTTACACATTCTAGTGAATTCTGGTGAAGGCTGACATGAGCTTAGTCCTCTCTGACACCCTTGTTTCCTAAATTTGTTTCACCCTCTCCCTGCTTTTATTTAAAGTGACATTATAAAAAGGGGCATGTTGGTGTGTGGGTTTGGGCAGAAGGCTGTAGGGCACTGGGGGCCGTGGCTGTTGCTCAGTTTGATGATGAACTTCTAGAACTATTTGAAGATTGTCAGCCTCTAAGGCATACTCATGCTCTATATTTTATGTAGTTTAGGACATTGACAACAGATTAAACAGCCCCATATTCCAGGTAATACAATTCTACATAGTTTAACAAATCTGAAAAAACTGCAATACAACACTTACTCCCAAATTGTAATCAGATTAGACTGCCCCAGCTCTGGTGTATTCTCACATAACACTACTTCCACCATTTCTGTTGGCCAAATATTCATGTTTTGTAAGCAGGCAGACATGCACCTAAAAGCAACTGTAAGTAATGATATACCATGCTTCCCATCGTACTTTGGAAACTTATTTCATAAAACGTGCTATATAAATAAAGTAGATTGGATTGGATCTATAACAAAAGATTGGTAATAGATTTTGAGTGAGTTACAGGGAAAGAAGTATGTGACTCGATATGAGGAGAACACCCAACAAGTTCTGAGGCACTGTTTTTTGGAAGGGAGCTGCCACCAGAGCTCTGCATGCCAGACATACACACGTTTTACATATTAGTTCTCATGGTCTGGCTCTGGAGCGGCTGCGACTCTATCCAAAAACAAACAAAGTCACACAAGCACCAGTCACATAATAAAGTGGGGCTGGAATATTATAGACAAGGTATGTTACGTTAATTGCAAATAAAGGATTTTTTTTTTCTCAGCTGTGCAGGACTCAAACACAGTTTAATAGATGGCTCATTATAGAC